AAGCGCTGCTAGGACTTTCCCTTGCTGACCCCTCGGGGGAGGCAGCCAGTGCTGACGAGCTGCCCTGTACCGGAGCCCCCGGCTGTGCCGCCGCTGGGCTGCCATGGGGCTGTTCCCCTCTTGCGTCCCCTCCCTGTTCAGGGGCGCTTGTTCCAGCCGGGTGGCTGGGAGGCTCCATGGCCTGACTGCTGCTGGCTGCTCCTTTCTCCGATGCCGATGCTGGCTGCGGTGCTGCTGCTTCACAGGCTGTGTCCTGCCCTGGGCTGCTCTCGGCTGTGCCACCAGCCGGGAGGGCAAGGGTGGCTGCAGGGGGACAGGGGGGCTGCCTCCCCTGCGCGCTGGGCATTGGAGCGGACGAAGGGCAGCCGGGCTTGTCGCTTTCGCACAGAAACCTGCCAACCGAGCCCAGGTCCGCTTCGTCCTCGCTGCCCGAGAGAAGCTCCGGCAGGGTGAGGTGCCCGCCGGTGGGCCAGCACAGGGAGGCGTCTACAGGCACCCCACGTGGGGCAGAGCTTCCCGTGCCAGGCCCTGGCCTGCTGCCCACCCTCACTGCAATCTGCCCGTTTGTGCTGGTGTGGCAGTCCCTCTCCGGCACGCCGTCCCCTTGTTCAATGTCACTGAGACACTGCTCCTCGGCCGTGGCCAGGGCGGCCGGTGCTAGGTTGCATTCCTCCGACGCCAAGAAGAATTCAGCCCAGTCCCTGTCGTTCAGCTGGATGCTGTACTCGAAGTTATCCATGCCTGCAGCAGCAAAGCAAGGGGAGGGAGCCAGAGAGATCAGGGCATAAGGAGGGGGCACCAGCATCAGCAGGCATAGCTGAGGTGTATGCCCCTAACCCTTTCCCCCCCGGTTCCTGCCCTGCTTCCCTGCCATCCGCATTCACTCATCCTCACTCGTTTCCAGCTGAAATCAGTGGGAGGCAAGGGCAGCTCCTGGCAGACTCAGCAGGACAGGTATTGCTGTGCTGGACCATAACCCAGCCAGCAGTGAGAGAGACCACTACTACCCCCCTCAGGTCCCTTCTGCCTCGGCTCCCCCAGCACAGCAGCACAGAGGGTTTGGGACTCTCTCCGCAGCAACACAGCAGCATTGCACCTCACATACCCCTTTCCTACTCCTTTTGCCTACAACCCATTTAAAAAAGTGG